CAAAACTACAGAAACACAAACCGGGATGGGTGGTCGGGCGTTATGCCATACATAGAGGGAGACTATTCGCAGAGTTATTTTCTAGGGGCGGGTGACATGGGTGATCTCACACGGGTCAAGGAAAAGTAATTTGCATGATATTAGACACCTACTATAGAATAGTAGAATACGATGAAATTGTACACTAGATCCTTTCACCCCCGGGTCTTAGGCTAATCATAAAGAATAGTAACAATAGCAAGGCCCCGGGGAAAAACCGAGGGCAGGAGTCGTTTGCTTACATCAACGGACGGGAGGAATCAGCCGGGGTATGAATCACATTGTGATAGCCCACGACCTTGTTTAGTGTCGGCAGATGCAGCCATCTAATACGCCAGTAGCATCCAACCTAGCCCGCTATCATATAACAACCTTGCATCAGGCAGAGATCCAGATCAAAATTCTAAACTCGACACCCGGATCGAGACTACGACCTGGTGCCCAAAGTATATGTGCACATGTACTGTACATACATCCCTCCCTATCTTGTACATGTAGTTGTACAACGGAGCACTATGTACGTACAAACGACCGCAACAAACAAGCACCCAGTTCGAGCAAACAGATAACCCTATCTAGATCCTATGGAACAAACGCCATTGATGACTCAAACAATCAATCTAAGCCTCCTCCTCCCTTCCCCCCTAGCACAAAAACGAAAACGAACCATAACCCCCACCCCCCAGCCAGCCAGTCTAACCCCCCGGACAATAAGCATAGAACAAAACGTTAGACTTAGTAGTAGCAATCCGCTAAGCCTCACTCTTCACGGAGTAGGTGATAAAAAAAAAACGAAAACCAAGAACAAGAAAGCAAAAAGAAAAAACGCACTTCCCATTGATAGACAATACCATACCATAAACCGAACAGCAGAACGTTTTCAAATCCCGGAAATCAAACGGCTAATCAATCATCCTGAAGAATTGATGCAGTTTGGAAATAAAAAGAAAAAATTTATATCACGAGTCTGTGTCAGTAACTTCAACACAGCTCCACTAGCGGCTCGCAACATAGCACCCTTGTACTGCAAAAATGGATATTACCATAGCATGAGGGGGAAAAATAACTATCCTGCCTTAGGGCTGCCCAATGAAGTGATGTTATGGGGTAGAGGGTGCAATTTGACTGGCGGGGACGAGAAGGGAGATAGAAGTTTGGAACTTAACCTAGTGTACTCAACGTAAAATGAAGTTTTTATGCAAATTTTGGAATGATTTGAATTTGGTCCTTGGTCGGGGTCTTGGCTGCTGGGGCGGTCTATTTCTGGTACGGGTTGGATACAAACTACTATGTGGTGAGAGTACCCTAGATTGGTTCAGTTGCTTCAAGGGTACTGACTCCGAGGAGGTATGTCCATGTCAGGGCTCAGGGCTAAAACGCTCAAGGCTCAAGCGCCCAAGTAGGGAAACGTGGGGCTCCGGGTCATGATGCCCGTCTGATGGCTTAACCATAATGGGAAAGCCGGACGCATGGAATATCGCTGATTGGACCAGTAAGTTCAACCGCTGAATCAGCGCTGCGAACTCTAACAACTGAACGATATCGGAGGTACCGGGCTGATCTTTTATCATGCATTTGGGTTTGAAGAGCGGCCTTCTTTTTGTGGCTCACGGATATGCTCGGAGAGTTGCTCTCCCAGGGAGAATCTAGATGGTTGGAGATTGGGGAAGTGGGTTATTGTGAGGGGCGGTACCGTAAATTGGAGTAGGACGTAAGGTGTCTCGATCGTGATCGGAACAACGGGCGTTGTTCCTGATCGTGGATCATGATCCTTCGCGAGTTTGGTGCCTAATTGTTGTTGGTGTGTCGGCTTCGGGAAAAGGGATTACAAATCTTCTTTAAGTATGAACTCCGAGGCTTATCTCCGTATTCTATCCAAAACTTAATGAGGGACATTGAATCAGTGCGAGAAGATACTTTGACTTAAGGAAGGTAATTTTGTGGATGTCTTGTAGCTTAAGGGAATGTGTTCGACTTGGCGTGATTTGCTTTTTGGGGGAGGGGGGGAATATTTAGAGGAGGCATATGTAGGAGAACGTACTCAGCAAGGGGCGCGGGGGTAAGGCGCAAAAAATAAGATCAAGACACCAAACGCGAGAAATGCACGTCTGCTGTGTCACCCTTGCAAAGACTATTTTAGATCCAGTTGTCTCGTACCGCCCGGAGAAATCCGTATGGCCAGAGTCACTGCCAAGCTAAGTTCCATAGGTATAGGGATTAGTTTGTCTCGATATGGTATGACGATGTCTCGAAGATTAACAACCACCAGCAGCGTAAAGGTTTGCGCCAGATGTCTGTTCCTCGCCCGATGCCGGAGCTAGTATTCCGGCTCGATGCTGGGCAACGTCATGTCAGGTTCGAATTTTCTCAGATATGGAGGGTGTGGAGTTGACCATAATAGAAGTGGAGAAAAATTAGGGATTTCTTATACTACGGTTACAAGACAACTGGGAAGGTAATATCAGATAACTCAACAAGGTTAGTAGAGGGCTTGGGAAGATCACGTTTCGAGTGAGTGACGTTGGCATAAGGCATAATACCACATACTATCGACCAACTACTTGTGGTGGGTGGGCTGTCACTTTCTCAGCCCACCGCTAACGGGGGCACAGGGTGCTGTCAGTGCTTAATTTAATTTTAATGTTCCCGCAATTATCGGTGTCTTAACCCGCTTGATCCGCTTTTATCTGTGGGTTTCATTGGATAAGCCTGACATGTTAAAGTATGGAACCCGATATAGTCCGGCCACTCAGGGGTGGTGCTGCCGTAAGGGTTTAGAATTTCGTGTAAAAAGGTATCATAGGTAGGTGACTTCTTTTTTGAATTTCTTTTTTCTATGGCGCCTCTCGTTTGCTGCTCAAAGGGGTAATTAGTAGCTATGGCACTGTATGTTGGAGTAATATGTTGATCGCTCTATAGATAGGGATGGGGTCCGTTTTCTCTACTATTACCGACTCCGGCATATTAGCATTCACTATAAAGAAATAGTTGAAACTTAGAGGCTCAATACTATGCGGCTTATACGACTTCATTGATAAACTAATTCCACACCCAGAGAATCCTTCTTGGGAGCTTTATATCTTGCCACTGAGCACGGCGGACTCCGTAGGGAAACTCATAGACGAAGTGCACACCACTGAGCGGAACTGTGTTGATGTCTTCCGCAATAGCCGCGGAACTTGGCCTGGGACTAATTGATCCCGAAGAGGGTGACATCTCCTCTCCCCAGGCTGCAAATGATAGCGTCAGCTACTCTAACTTAGTGGGTATTGGATAGGCATCCAATGTAACCAGCTAGCGGCATGGACCCCTCACCACATGGGTCAGATAGCGATACAGCCTTAGTAGGAAGAAGCAACTTTCCCCTAAACTTGGCTATATTACGTGAATTAGCTTAACTTGTCTTATCTGCCGCCCTGTTCAGGTGCTGGTCTCAACTAGAGCCATATTTGATCCTGTGTACATTGCCTGGGGTATCCCCCCTCCTGTACTAGTAAGTACCCGGCAAAGATTGGAACAGTCGCTATTCCGCGAGAAGTCTTGTTCTTGAGAAGGTATCGGCCACCTGCTACTATGACCAACGGGCTCCAGTTGCATACCTGAGGTCGCCGAACATCTGAACAACATGGACTAAAGTAGTAGGTAAGGTACCTTGGACTTACTTTGTCCGTAGTAACTATCAAGTGGATCCTCAGTCGAATAGCCAATCGGTAAACGCCGTACGCGACACACAGACCAATAGAAAACCACGGCAGAAACAGACAAGCGCTCGCCATTCAGAGAGCGTATCGGCCGTGCCATATCATGCGTCTAGCCCAATAAAAGACCCTCGGTGGAGTATAAAAGGGCAGGTGATCGATGTGGTCGACAGGGTTGTTACTTAAAATGGTTTAAGCAACTCACCTAATTCGAGGTTACTTTAGGGTACCTCGTTCTGGAGACTCTGGTTCAGTGGTGGATCGTAATGGCGATACTAGTGGGGTAAGAGATCCACCTGTTCCAGTGTTCGACTTTGCGCGAATCTCTGCGTCAGTGCTCACGGCCATTCGCAAGGCCTAGACTGTGCGTTCTTGATTAGGGTCTGAACATATTGGTATACTGGCCTGGGCGTGTCTGTAACGTATCAGGTGATAGTCGTCCACCTCAACACGGATACTCTCGTGGCTATACAGATCGGTACATACCTTTGGTGAAAGCTCCCTTCTGTGTGACATGACGTCCGAGAAGTCGAGGTCCGTGGGACGACATATACTAGATGAGTATGTTTTGTGCTACTTGATGGTCTAATCAAACAACTGCACCCTCAAGCTTAGCGCTCTGTCACTGCGCTTGACTGGTAACGTGGCTACCAGGTTTCCGCCACAATCTCCATACCTAACGGTCCAAAACCAGTCGAAGATACCCCATGCGGGGCATCCTTATTCGAACCAGTGACCTCATGCTCGAGTCGAACTGTTGGACAGTGCCGTGCGGGACCACAAATCACTACTGAAGCTGGTGAGCTGGGATGAACCTACGAGCAAAACCTGCCTCCCGTGCGACATTTCGAGTTTAGTTGATGATGGACGCCCCGTCCTCCTGCTTGAGTGTGGTACTGCATATCAGTTCATTGACTGAGTCAGCCAATATCCTTTGCCTCGGTATCCAATCCCTCCATCTTTACTTCACCTGTCCTGCTGTGTAAGTTCACCGTTAGCCAATCACTTCGATAATTCCAGTTGGGTTATTACTTGTCCCACATACCAGTTGATGAGGGACTATACGTCCTACCACCATGTTGTTAGTGAAATGTTAGTAGGCATCATTCAGAGTAACCTCCAAGCCATGAAGTTTGTCGCCGAGTTTAGCGCGGTGAACACCGGATGCATGTAGTTTGCCCCATTGTGGACTTCTTTCGACCGACAATCCTTATGTTTTGCACCACGTTTCGCATCCAGCCTCAAGAAAGGCTGGCAGTATAGTCACATCGCTGTGTTGGCCGGTGACACAGCACCTATTGATATGCTTCTATTATCTGGGATAGATCTTGACAGCTGCATGGCGGTCCACCAGAAGATGCTCACCAATGATATGAACGGGCAATACCCATTGACAGCAACTGAATCACTTAGTAAGGGGCATTAGGAGACGACCTTCGCTCCTAATCTGGATCCTGTCGATTCCCTTACGATTCCAGCGAAGTACTAAGGAGCAATTGATTCGTAGCGTGATAATTTTGGGGGCCTCCATCTCATTTTCATCGGATGGAAAGAGGGACAGTACGCCACTGGCTTGCTTGGACACATCTAGTTGCTCTTCGAATACTTTGACTTTCTGCCGCATCCCCACTTGGACTTGGAAATCCATGGTTGGGACGGAAAGGTTCGTGTCCGAAGATAGTAATAGGCAGTAGTCCGTCCGGCCTACCATTCGCTTGATCTGCGGCGCACCACCATGACTGGTCCTTTCAACTCTTCATGTTCTCAACCCCCCTGTGTGCTCCATGTTCTTTCATGTTGGCTATTGTTATATCCAAAAATAAGTTGACAATAAACAACATGCATGAAGATGTTATGAAACGTGCATGAGGCAGATAAAGAGACGCAGTAAGCATAGAGTAGATATTCTTAGATACAATGCCGGATCCGGCAACTTTAGACATTATATCTCACAGTCTTAAAAACGCCCCTAATCTCGAGGTGAAACACGATGTCTATGTCAGTTGGGATCCTAAGCGTCAGTCCCAGTCACCCGACCAAATGTCAAGGTCTCTGGGGCGTTTGAAACGCGAACCCGGGCCAGTTTGGACAGGGCCCCAAGAGAGGAGGCCCAACGAGAACCCTGACGGATTTGGAAAGGCTGGCTTCTTGGCGTAAATCAAGCAAGTAATTTTCCAGAAGAAGATCGAACCGGGGGCGGCTGTCCTGTGGTGGGGGGTTTAGTTGTTGCTCAGATCCCTGGTGTTGATCCTTTGCTGTCATGTTGAAAATCTGCAGGTGACACCATGCTGCGAGGGAGAAGGTGCTAAGTCGGGTTATGCAACCCGTCTTGAGGCGATATGATGTTGTTTTTCTTAATGATAAAGCTCCCGTGGTTTCACTAAGAGGGTCTGCAATCGAGATGAGATAGACAAATTCAGTTTACAGCCCGTTCGAGACCGTAAATCAACCCAAGCAGTTGTGCCCATTTTCGCGGATCGCTCGCATACACTAGAACTCACCGAGTGAGGCTACTTCGATAAGAGAAGGTAATTCAACGTTTGTGTAGAAGCCAACATAGCTTCCATTGGACTTCTACGGCTTCGGTGGACCAAAGGATCACACCGAAGGAACAAAGAAATCGAACTCGAGCCCCTGCGGTTCCTGCGCAAGCCATCACCCTCCGCCGAAGTCAGTCCTCCCGCTTGACGGCGGTAGATCATCGTAGGGCACCAGGTAAGTTTGGTAACTCGCGCCTCCCTCCAATCCAGCGCCGATCGCCATAATAGGGATGAATTGAAGACTGGAGACCTAGAAGTAGGCGGCCAGCATTAGTGCATTGGAGTCATCGGTGTTGTCAAAAATAGCGACCGGCACACAAGTTTGGGAAAGGTTCAGGAGAACGAAGAAGAGGGTGGGAATACTAGTAGACGTTGTAATTGTGTACGTTCCATCCCCAGACTTGTGTGTTACTGTCCCACTATCAAGAGGTGACAACCTCGACGCACGTCCCCAATGGCTGCGAGCGACAGTCGAATCAAATCAATTGTAAATTAGTACGACACTTGTAAGACCCCCTTCGCCACTCGCGTCTGATCGGCGAAGGTAACCTATAATTTTAGTTGTGAGAAGGATCAAAAGCAATCATGAGAGCTATAGTCATATCACTTGGTTGGTCCAACAGCCAACATGTATGCTGTATGCTAGGACACATGGGGAGCCTTCGCCCATGATCCCCGTCCTCACGTGACCAAAAAGTATCCAAAAGTCAGGAACGCCCATGGCGGTACTTTCCCCTATTTGCCTACGGTCGGAAAAGAAAGTCTCATGAATTACCAGTAGGCAACCAACCAACTTCCACCTTTCACTGCCAAGGATACTATATACCTAGTAGTCCTAGCATGCATAATACTTGGGGTAAGGGGCGCGGGGCTGGTCGAAGCTGTCATTTCTCTTGGGTCTAGCCCCAGTGGGAATATCAGCCTGTCGATCGCAGATCAAAAATGGCACTAATCTAGAAACAGCAGGATAGTTGTCCGCGCTATATGTAAGGCTTGTAAAAGTGAATTAATTATAGTGGGACGATTGGCTGTGTCAGTGCGCTAGTGGCAGGCTCCCATGATCTACTCTCTGGTCGACCAGTCTCAACGGGTCGGATACTTCAACCCGACCAATGGTTGGACCAATAAACGTCTAGTGGCGCAGTTGTATGTGATCATACTACTACGTCTTCCTAGCAGTAATACCTTTCCAAGCCTGTACGTCAAGACTGGAAAGGTTCGAGGCTTCAATCCATTCCATATTCCTTCTACTGGAAGCTAATTAGTGTACAACCAAAATTTTCGATGGCATGGGCACACTTCCGAATAGGTAAGAAGTTAATTTAGGTTAAAGTGAGCTGAATCAGTGTCAGTAGTTCTAACCAAGGTACGAATATCATCCTTTTTCTGCGAGCTGCCCGCTCCCAGATGGGAACTATAGAGCGAGAGTATTTGGAATGACCAACGACTGATGATGCCTCAAGAAGACTTGACCCGATGCCTCCTTCTGCACACTGATTCATTCGATACCAGTGCGAGCGAAATGAAAGACACGATAGGGAAATCGGTAAACCCCGTTTGGTCCCGTTTGGAACCACTTCAAACATGGAACTGCCAGCACCCGATCCGCTGAGCCCAATAGATTCTTCCACATCGAGCTCTGCCCGTGCCCACCGTCGATGCCATCCCTGTGATGGCAAGTCCGGTCTGGTAAGGTTCTTACTAGAGATGATCTACTGGTTCAACTGTGGAGAAAGCAGTACGGGATCACTCTCTGTGTACATATAGCGGGTACACACAACGTGCGGGAGGAATGATTAAGCAGGGTACCGTGGGTGCATTCGCACGATGTACTTCTCCACGAGTGTGCTTCTGATGGGTGAAGAGGTTGCTGTCCCGTCTTCCTACTGTACATACTTTTTTCGGTGAATGGTCTCCCATGGAACTCCTATATCGGCCTTTGATATACCCCAGATGAAAATTTAATCTATCCTCTCTTCTGTCATTCAGACAGAGGAAAGAAAGAGAGGCGAAATTGCTATGCTGCAGAGATAGGCGGTAGTTCCAGACTGGTCTATCAGGTTTCCGACTAGTGGAGAATCTGACAAGTGTGAAAATTAGACAACGGAGATGAACATGAAGAACGAATGAGTCAGGGAGATTCATTTCTCGCTTTCCTGATTCGATGATGCTCCAGCGAGGCCGGGGAATTCCAAATTGATCAACTTCCCGTGTCGCCCTGAACATTCAATATGATCAAATGAGTTTGTCACTCACAGCTGACCGTTCTAAATTCTATACGGGGTGACAGGTCTACGTTTCCGGCCAAACCTGTGAGCCATCAGCCATAGCTCTGGGGCTTTTACCGCTGCGTTGCGAACGGAGGTCACTGATTCTGTATAGAGTCTTAGAAGATCTTACGATTGTATGAAGGTAATGAATATCCTGATTCTCAAGGGCAAAAGGAGGATTTTTGTGCAACGATGCTTGGACGTTAGAGTGGCAGCGAACTCTATTGATCAACCCACCCTCCTACAGCTAGTACTAGTACTCTTATTATTACTATTATACGTATTATTATTATTAGGACTAAACCTCCGGACAGAAGATAGTGTGCCGTCTAGTTCTAAAACGGTTTCTCCTGGCTTGATCTCTTCACCCGCATCCGGTAAAAGAATCTGCAACAACAGGAGCTTTTTTCTTCTCATTCAACCATTGCAAGATCTCCGACACAATTTGATGGATGCTGAATTTGGCACAAAGGGAGCAAAGAGCAGGAGGGGCTATTTTGGGACCACTGGTGTATCTAGTTTGCAGACAGAGACAATATAAAGAAGGGAACTGTGTGAGAAATGCACATAGAAAGGAACCATTCTCTTGAGGGACCAACATAATAGGGTTCCCATCCAATAAGATTTCAATTAAAAAATAAAGGGAAGGGCAAAATGAAAGAGTAAGAAAATGACAAAAAAGACAGGAAAAAAAAAAAAGAAAAAGAGAAAGAGAAAAAAAGCCCTCCCCAAATGTATCAACCAAATCACCTGCACCCATGTCTCCTCAGGTCCCGACATACTGGAACAAAGGCCTCACCGTCACCACTTAGTGCGCAATATGGAGATTGGGGAGTGAGAAATAATAAAAACAATATTAATAAAAAATTAAACTAACACTTCCGCCGCCCACAGCGTACGTTACTATTCTGCGTCTTTTTTTTTTTTTGTGTGTGTATTTTATATTTTTAATAATATTTTTTATTTTTGATGTATTATTTTTATTATTATTATTATTATTCTCCTAATTTAGCTTGAGCCAGGGTTTCAGCCGCTATTCATGGCCTATGGTTAGCATCGACCACCATCCAGAACGGCTGTCTGCAACATCATGCGTCCCACTGATATCTTTCCCTTAACTTGCCGCTCTTGCCCCGTCCTATTCTTTACTTATATCGTGTGCTTTTCCTCTGCAGATCTCCATGCGATAAAGCAATCATTCAGTCCACTCTTGCCCTGGTGGCTTCATTCTCCTCTCTTCACATTTCATCCACGAACCCTCTCTCAATCACTATCTTCCTCAATTCTATTCTTCTTTTGTTTTGGATTTTTCCCCTTCCCCCCCCCCCCCCTTCTACAGCTACCCCATTGATTATTCGTTAAAAGGGCTGCTGGTCTCACTGTCTTGTCCTTTGCTTTCATACTCACTAGAATCTCCATTTCTGTCCATTGAACGACTGCCAAACGCCAGATATTCCTCCCAAGAGGGCTACAACTTCCTCTACATATTCACTCAATATTTTCTACCTTCGACTGCCTTTACATTCTTCTGCAGGAATTTGCTCCTTCATCTCCAACAATTTCCATCTACCCCGCTATTGGTCTGGAGCACTGCTTCCGGATTTGAGCGCAACAACATCGGACAGACCAGAAATATCTGGTTCTGTCGCAATATTCCCCGTTTCAAAGTGGCTACATTGTTCTCCTGTCTTGCTTCCAAAAGTGCCACCTTACTCTCCACCATCAAACGAAACATAGGCGTAGCTACAGCGAGCATGGTTCGCGGCCAACTGCCCTCTCCGCCTCACTCAGACGGACATCCCACTCCTGAACCTCACCGGGAAAGCTGTGGAATCATTCACCCATTATACGCACACGACGACATACTAGGAGCCGGAATTACCATGGATCATACACAGCAGGCTGTGGTAAGTATTCAGAGCTAGAATTACCACCTGTTGCACCACGCTGACCTCTGCCAGGCTTTCGAATCGTCAAATCACCCCCGGTATCTTTCCAACAACGGTTATTTACAACAGCCGGTAAGCACTTTCTTTTACTGGAATTTCCCGGTAGCACTGTGTATCCATCTGTTCTCAGGCTAATCTCTTCTCAGATGGCGGCCCATAGCATTCAAGTCAACACACCACCATCAACCTCGGATGAGTGCATCGTCTCAGAGCGGACTTCATCTACATGGCCTCAGAGATCAGCCAATCGCGGAAAAGCAAAGAGTGCCAGAGGTAGCGGTGGTCGCAAGCCCAAAACACTGCATGCCAGAGATGGCCCCTCGTTACCCGGCCCGTTGAGCGAGTTGACCAAGCACCTGACCCATGTCCCCATCAGGGACATGGAAGGTTGGGTACATCGACCTGTCGAGGTCCGTCGCCAGGAAGTCGCCAAAAAGAACGGCAAAGTTGCCAGGCCTATGAACTCCTTTATGCTCTACCGGTCAGCATACACAGAGAGAACCAAGAAGTGGCTGGGGCAGAACAACCATCAAGTCGTGTCCGTGGCTGTGGGCCACAGCTGGAAGATGGAGCCACCGGAGATTCGCAATAAGTTTGAACTGCTAGCGAACATTGAAAAAAAGAACCATGTCAAGGCGCATCCCGGATACAGGTTTTCTCCAAAGAAGGACCATCGAAGAAGCGATGACCGTCGCAACAGTCGCCTGGATCACACACCTGGTTCTAGCCCTGGCTTAGGGCAGACGCCCCGTACCATGAGCACATCAGAAATGGAAAGCGGATGGGGCAGCCGTGACTCAACCCCTCTTGGTTTTATGGAGCATGGCATGCCCGCTGGTTATCTCAGCTCTTCCTGGCAAACGACCAACCCCGGTAGGCCAGCCCCAGGCATGCTACCTCCCTCACCACCGGAGCCAACTCAGTACCTCCAGCAATCAATCCATCAGAGCCTCATGGGCTCCCATGTGGAAGATGTCCGCTTCAACAGAGTTGACATGCAGGATCTCCAGTATTCTTCTTCAACAGCTCTGGCTGGCCTACCAGGTGCTACTCACCATGAACTTCTTCAGCCTCAGACTTCTGTTCCTGCGCCGGGAGCTGGTGCCGATGGTCAGCTAGATCCACAGCTGCTCGGCTTCCAGGGCAACCCGAACAATGGTGGAGGAAGTCAGCCTTACGGCAATGCTCACTACCATCCCATCTGGCAAGACGTGCATGCAAGCAACAACTACGCTGCTGCCTCGTCGCTACCGCCGACCACGGTACCCTACGTAGCCGGGGCGGCTTTCACACCATGTATGCAATCGATGGTGGATGGTCGCGAGGCGTGGGAGTCAGGCCATGACGGGACCATGGACACCTCCGGTACGGAGTTTGAACATTGGATTAATCCTCAACCGGCGGCATTTTAGGAATTACGGGGATCTATTCCGAATCCCATGATGAACGTGATGAAAGCGACGAGCTCGACGAACTTCCATAATGGATATGTGCGTCGTCTTTGTTCTCGGATTGGCTCCCTGTTTAAATTGAATATTTTGATGCTGGAGTTCCAAGGCGTACAGATCTAAATGACTTAGTGATATCCCTTCTGGAGGCGGTTTCTTTGTTTCTAATGTATCTTTTCTTAATCTCGCCGATATCGATTCCCAAGGGTGGCAAACTGTTAGTTCTGGTTATGTATGATAGTTCTTTTGTCAATCGTTCACTCGCATAGAGCTGCACGGACTTTTGTGATTCAGAGATACCAATTCACCATCTAATAAATACTTTGCCATATTTCTATGATTACTTACCCATATAATTATCATTACCACGTATATATCAATTGTGTTTATTTCGATAAGATCGGGCCTTTTGACGGAAGATCTCTGAGTGTTGGTTAGAAAATGCACTCTAAATATTGTTTCATATGGAGTCGGCATTATTATCAGCAGTAACGACCATTCTCGTATGCAGGAATAAGTATTCTCTGCAGTAGAAATGGAATGGGCTTGAGAATAGTTAGTAGTCTCCCATGTTTGATTGCCAAGCTGCAGCCCTACGTCAATTTTATAGTCACAAATGGTCCGTACTACATCTTTACTAGACTCATATTCGTAGAATTTCTCATCTAAACGACAGCGAGCTAGTGTTAAATTGTTGTATTCCAATGACTGAAACAGTCTTGGCAGCCGCGAAAGAAAGGTGCATCACGTGAACCGCGTTTTCCGGAGATAACGCCGCAAGATTGTTACTTTGCACTCAACATTGATTATTTTTCATACTCAAGGCGATCTAAGAAAACTTTCATCAGAGAAATACAGAAGGATTGACACACGCACCGTGTAAGACCGACTCAACGCGCAACATTCAGAATTGTACAACACACATCCGGCCCAACATCCAGCAACACCCACACTAAACCCAGTAACAATCTACAACGCAAACTATACCCATAACCACATCTCCCAATAACCTAAAACACCTATCGCAACTTCCACCATGTATGGTGAACTCGGCAACAAATTAGTCTGTCCAACCCGACCCCCAATCTTCTCTCCTCTACCCCACCAAACAACCACATCCACTAACAAACCAACTCAGGTCCAACACGCCAAACGCACCCAATCCCTCGCCCACCTGCCCCCCTACCAAACCGAACTCGTTCGCTCCGTCGCCCGCGAAGTCCGCGATCTCGACCGTGATGTCAACCACCTCCTAACCCCCTTCTCCGGCTCCTTCGACCCCTCCCAACAGCCTGCAGTCGCATGTGCCCTTCTAGTCGACCACCTCTGTATGCGCCGCAACAAGCGCTGTCTCCTCGCATACCACCGCGTGCGCACCGAAAAGCTCGAAGAGCTCTGCTGGACGGGCATCGATGTGCTCGAGCAGCAGGCACCCCCAGCCGCGGAGGACGGTACCCAGCCTGTTGCGAGCTCGCAGAGCGGGAATCATAGCTCGTTGAGTCCCGAAGAGGAAGAGTATTTTCGGCAGTATAGTGATTTGTTGGCGGCGTATAAGGGACAGTGGACTGATGTTGATCTTACGGGGGCGTTGGAGCCGCCCAAGGATTTGTTTATTGATGTTCGGGTCCTTAAGGATGCCGGGGAGATTCAGACGGAGTATGGGTATGTTCTTTTTACTTCACCACCTTCTTTCTTGCTATTCGGGAAGGCGGGGGAACTAGTGGGGAGGGTTCTTGGTGCTGACTGCTTCATAGGGTTATTAATTTGACGAAGAACAGTCAGTTGTACGTGCGGCAGGGGGATGTGGAACGATTGATTGCGCAGGGGTTCTTGGAGCGGTTGAGTTGACGGTACATTTGGTTTTGGTTGGAATGATTGATTTGCGAATTTTTTTTCTATGTTCATGATACCCATGGAGAGTAAAAGTAGAGGAGTTAAAAGGCAGATCTGAAAGAATTATAGTTTGAAAGAAACACGGGCTACTGCCACCTAGTTATAAAGCTGTGTTAGATAGTATCAGCCCATGCAGAGGCATTAAGATGGAATGCCTCCAAAATCGCAGCCCTAGCAACCTCATCATCAACCGCCGCCTTTTTCCTTTCATCCATAAGCACGCCCAATTCCCTAATACGTCGGGCCACCTCTCGCCACTGTACCCTCTGACCACCATTCTCCTCTTTAGCCTCAATATCAGGAGCAACCAGCACATCCTTGAGCTTCCCGCCCTCCTTCCGAATGACTCCATCAATAATAACAGTATCAATGTCCCTGATCGAACTATGAAGAACGATGGCCGCAACCGGATCCCGATCCGCAGCAACCAGCAGACCGGGCGAGGTAGCATCATAAATAACAATATCCGCCTTCTTGCCCACTGCCAAGCTCCCAATTTCGTTCTCCATGTTGATGCATCGAGCGCCCTGAATCGTTCCTAGATTGAAGACGTCCCTTACGCTGCTCCCTACATTCTTCGCCCACTTGCTGTGCGCTTCGAACTCCTCGTGTCGTCTTGCTCGTGCCCACTGCAGCACGGTCGACATCTGAGTCGGGATATACGATGTACAGACACTGTGGCAGTCGATTCCCAGAGATGATATTTGCTGGTACTCGGGATAGAGGCAGACCGGGTTGCCGTGGCCCATTTGGAGTTCAGTGATGGGTGTGCTAGAGATCTTCACGCCTTTGTCGCGGATGAGTTGGGTATGTTCTGGTTTGGGGTTGGTATTGTGTGATAATAGGATGTCGGGGCCTAGGAGGCCGTGAGAATCGAGGTGATTAGCCGTTGATGGGGCATCCGGGCCTGTACATGCATTTAGTATAATAGTCCGAGGCCAGGGAAAGCGTCCTGCAAGACATGGTGGAGTGGAGCTAGCCGTAATACATACCTCCGAACGCGACCCCGTAAACTGAGTGGGATGTAATGAGCTGCGCCCCGGCGCGACGGACTCGACCGTATACTTCCTTCAGAACTTCCCCGGGGAGATAGAGCATATCGAAGGCGAATCCCAGCCGGACTCGTCCAGATGGGCCGAGTGGGTTCATAGCTGCGAGTTGGTCAAATGTTTCCATGACCCATGGAGCGAGTGGATCTGGGGCCATTTCAAACTTGGGACTCCATTGGGTTACTCGGGCAGTTGGACAGTACCCGAAGATTGACCTGATTCCGGAGGAGATGGTTGCTCGGATAGCTTCTTTGGCTGCGATATGTCAGAACTATACAATATGTGCACGGTCTTGTTATGCGATTAGTGGATGAAACTTACAATGATCCGGCGTAATGTTGATATGAGCATGGTCCACTACAGTCGTTGTTCCACTGTCGATACACTCCAGCGCACCAGCTAACTGACCCCAGAAGGTCTCGTCGGCTGATACGAAAGAACTGACGAAATTGCCGGTGGGGAAGTAATCGAAGAGAGTGTGGTTTGGATGTGTGGCTTTGAGACAAGTCTGCCATACATGATGGTGGGTGTCGATAAACCCTGGCGAGACAATTTTGTCCGTGCAATCTATGATTGCTGTGTCGGACGATGGTGGTTCAATGTTTTGGCCAATCTTAATGATTTGCGAGTTCTCGATTAGAAGATCCTCTTTCGACGCATGAACGACGTCAATCGCGTCGTGGAGAAGAAGTGTGCCGTTTTTTAGGAGGACTGAGGTGGCCATGCTGTACCGAATCCTATCCTATAGAGACTAAGTGTCTGATTCGGTATTGATGGTGGAATATAACTGAATACAAGGTAGTGCGTCATGTAGTATAAGAATGTCAGCTTGTTCGGCCTTCGGCTCTTCGGATCGGCCGTGGAGACCGTCTCATTACTCATACGACCTCCCGTTGGGGGCTCGAATGTGGAGATGAAGGCCCAGGCCATGAGACTCCACGTTTGTAGTATAGGGGGATGTCCATTTGATATTCGCATAAATATGTTTTTCGGCTGTGAGCTTGACTGCTTTCTGGAATGTTGCTCTTCCACGGCTGACCTCCGAGACCCACATTGCCCTAAGCAGATGCCCTCAGATGCTGTTCAACAAACTCTTTCATAAAGTGGCCAAGATGGGACACTCATTTGATAGCCACTGCACTTCTATAGTCATTATGGTCATTTAGCTAATATTAGCGCAGGGGCCTTAGCCTATGGCGGCACTTCAGTAATATTGGTGCAATATTATGCGCCACCTGCAGCATCATGACACCCATAACGTACCCGTATGTGGATGCGCTTACTAGTAGGTACTACTGCCCCGTCCCCTTACTCTGTTGCATTGCCATATTAAGGATCTTGCACCATTCCATGCTTCTAAGACACTTGGCTGGCCAGTGATCGTTCGCTCGCGACTGTTCTACTTCGGACAGACATGCCTTCGAGCCAGTCCTGAATTCAACCATCGAGGGATGGTTGTCCTAAGTTGTGCCAAGTATTTGCTCAATCTTGCTACATGATAACCCATGGTAAATCTTTCGGTGGCCGAAGGGCGATAACCACGGTAATGCTGGCTTAAACTTGACGATGCTTAATCCGCTCGTATTCCGTTGAATTACCTGTCTTCAAGAAGCTCCTTCGCAGTCGGTCTATCCCTTGGATTGAGGTTCATAATATTCAAGATAGACTCCTTTTCTTCAGTTGATAATTTCTCGCTGGTTAGCTCGCGAAAAAAATTTTAATTTTCAGGTTACACATCATTAATGCTGTGACAGAATGCCTAAGGTCTCTTGATCAGCGAGGTCAACACCTGGAAGCGGGTACGGTCCGAAATAGATGTGTTATTTATAGAGAATCACTATTACGTATTCGTCGTAGCCACGGGGAGCTTTACGCTTAAAGGTGAAGAAGCTATCACCGTAGATTAAGGAAATTACCTGAAGGATAAATCAATCGTTAGAGGAACAAAATAAGTTGAAATATGAAGCAACTACCAATGTCTCAAAATGACCAGCTGTCAGTTGGTGGCCCCCATTGCAATCCCAATTGTGCCTCTGGACTCCTCCAGATCGGCGTACCAATTCCGTCGCGGTCCCTACAGAAGCTGGAAGTTACATGGGCTGTGCTCTCACGGTCTGCAAGCTGGACAAATGTGAAGCGTTGACCATTTTTACTCTGATACAACGGTGCATAGTTCACTAAAACGTTATCTGTTTTGATATTTACGGAGAATTTCCGGTCAGAACTAGTATGTGCAGTCAGAAGCTTACTCGGAGCATAACCCTTACCTGTGTGGACATAGCCATCTTCATGTAGCACTTTCAAGGCTTCAAAATCCGCTTTGACAAATATCTGATCTCCCTTCGAATGAGCTTCTGAAAGTTCGAAGCAGGGGTAAATTGCTTCGAGATGCTTCAAGACAATAGCAGGCGGGTCTGCTGGTCTGAACTATCTCATCAATTAAAAGACGCTACTGCTGTGTCTTAGGCTGGAATTTCCGAAAGACATCCCCGGAAATGGCAGGCAGATTTGATTACGACAATCTGCTCGAATTTGATGCTGTTATTCAGGAAAAGTATGTAAGCACATTCTTTGCGATTGTTTCGTGGTTTCCACGAGATTTGATGCTAGCTTGAGCTCGATTCTCAACAAGTCGATGCATCACAACGTAATATGCTGCAGCTAAAAGTCTGGCTAGTGGTAAGCGAGTCATATCCATCATGTAATTGGTAGGATTTTGGTTACTCAACGGTTGAGCGTTAGAGAAGGTAAATCGGCAGATGCAGGACAAGTCGTTAACTGTTAGTCGGGTCTAAAGATGCACGACGAGCACAGACCCCTTGCGACAGCCTATCACATGCAAACAAAGTCCCCCCACGATGCCTGCATGCCTGAAGCTTAGACTTGGAGTCCAGAATCACAATTGATTGATATGAATTATGAATCTCCAGAGTCAAATATTAATTTATGACAGCCAGTTATCACCAACCATTACCTAATGTTATATCAACCTGGACGGATTCCCCATTGTACTATTCCGGATCAATCTAGTACGACGCTAAACCGCAACGAGTGGACCCGACGATAAGTTCCTCTCGTGATAAGACTTTTCTTAGTCAAAGCTCTGGCCGATAACAGGGAATCCAGTCATTTCCCCCTCCCCCATACTCTGCTGTACTGACCTCGCACGGCAGACTTCTTCTGGATGGCTGTCCTAATGTCTTCTTCTCCTTTCGTATTTACTTTTCCGCTTCTTCGGTAGTCCAAATAATGTCAATTGCTCCTGTGGTCTGATTGACACTTGCGTCATTCAGGATCACCTTTTCCTCCGCACCCAGTCTTTTGGTCCTCCCCGAGCAACCAAAAGCAGGAAGAGTCAAAGACTCCGGGACTCCCTGGTCCCTGTAAAAGCATTTGGTCCTTCCAGTTGGCACTTACGCGATTCTGACGACCACAATGGGTGTCTTCCGTCCACGAGGCCGCAGTGACTCTCGCGTGTCCGGGCTACCTTTCCGCCCGTCTCCCTTTGTTGATGATGAGGCTCCAGATGCGATTGAGCCTCCTGTAGAGCAGGCCAACAATGGTAGTCCTCCGAGAACACCTTTGGGGATCGAGTCCCTTGTATCTGGCGGGACAAGCCACAGGACGCCAAGTCGTTCCTTCTACCACCGATCATTCAACAGTACTGCAGGTGTGAAACAGGAACCTTCCCCGGAGACGCAATGGCTACCTCGAAGAGTGTTGTTTGACTGACTGTTAAAGATCCCGCTCGTTATTCGTCTCAAGGTCTTCGAGAACAAACTGCTGAACTGGCTTCTTACGCGCTCTCCCTGAATGGAAGCTCACTGCCTCAAGAACGAAATACGCTGCCGCCGTCCCTCGATATCTTTCATCCGATCCAAGATACAGACCTCTCTTCGTCACCCA